TGCAGCAATGCAATGCGAAAAACGCATATTGACGAGAGGTTGTTTGTGTGTGTGTGTCTGTGTGTGCGCCGCGCGTCTGTACCGATTTTTCATCTCGAGACCCACAAAAGCTACAGGGCTGAAACTCTGGGGAGTTAATCTACATGCACGTACGGACCTCCACCCCAAAATGGGCGGTCCTACCCGCGTGGTACCCACGTAAGAGCCCGCCAAAATTTGTCCAGGGTGAGTTGATAACTCGCGAACCAGGAAAGCTTTTTGGCAGCTAGTCTTAATTTGTTTAGCTAGAATAATCTGCCGAAAAAAACCGATGCCGGTAGCGATAAAGGCTGTGGGGAACAATGCAAAAAACGCATCATCGCACGAACAGCCCGTGCGTTGGCCAATTATTATATATTGTAGTGATTATTGTAGGAGCTGTAGTGATTATTGTAGGAGCTGTAGTGATTATTATAAGAATCTAATACCAGTAGTTTAGTTGTAAATATTAGTAGCCTAAAAGACAAAATATAATAATGATATTTGGAGAAAAGCAACAGCCCTAAGCAATATATCATTAATTTCATTGCCCCAAGAATGAACTGAAATTAGTGGCAAATACTAAAAACCAGGAAAAAATTAGAGAATACCGCACAGAATAACATAATTATAAATAAAATGTAACGGAATAATGAAAGAAGGCAGATAATTACTGAAAAGGAATGTTTCGGTCCATTAAGTCGTATACATTGTTAAAATAGTATCAAAACTGGACTTCGTCAATACGGCGGTAGATTATTAAATTACCTAACTAGCTTTCAGTACAGAATTAAGTGTAATTTTGTTACTGGAAAAGTCACTGAAACAAATGTTTTTCCGAGGCAAATTAAAATGAAAATTCAAATACCACGATGGCCACGAATGGTTCCTGGAATTGCTGGTTCAATGCCTGGGTGGATACATCGATTCCGCTCAGCCAACAACCATATCCTGGATGACTGTGGTACCAGCCGACAACCTGAATATTTCCAACATGAATGTACCGTCAATATGCTGATTTTTTTTTCGCAAAAATCGTGGAAGTCCTTCAATTTTCGGTATACATGTCTTTCTTTTGCCCTGAGGCACTTATTTTAGTTTTTCTCGAAAACTTGAGCCAATTTCCCCAATTGCCCAACTTTACATAGATGTCACCTACTCTAAATACCGGTTTGCTTACGTGACATAGCTAAATGGATCTTTTGAGTTTCACAAAATATTTAAATTCGACTGTTTTTTCTTTGTTGGCCTACACTGCGACCAAACTACACATGCAGCCGTAAGGTACGTCTTACCCCGTCTTGCTCCAATCTTTTAACGCTGTCAACTTGATTATTTTCATTAGCATTTCAGTAGCATTTCAAAATTTTCCAGTACTTACATACTCAACACAATGGCACAAAAATACTTTCTCGAACAAAATTTTATGGATGTTTTGCTGTGGATTTAGAAATGCTGCAGGATCTTGTACATTAAGAAGCTGTTGGCCAAGGTCCTGTCAACCAATTTCCTATTCGTGATTTTTCCAGGGATTTAAAACATTCAATTTACCAACAACGCGTTAGTGACGGAAACGCCGTATCAAGTATCAAGTGTTTCAGAAATTTTAAAAATGCAAACAATGAATATCTCTGGCTAGGGGATTGGAAGAAGATGTGGGGCCTGAAGTCATCTAAGTCTTTTGCTCATAGGCAGTTTGTTTGGCGTTTTTTGGCCACCGCTGAGAGGAATACAATCGAATTTTGGCAGTTATGGAAAAACTATCAAGTAATGTAGCAAGTGCTGGGAACAAGAAGCAACCTTGTCGAGTCGTCCCACAGATTCGGAGAGTTCCGTATAGATTGTCATGTACTCGTAGGCCTGTTCCTGGGCGTTTACACGTGTCTCGGTGCCTTCCACCGGCAGCGCGAAGCTATCCATGACGATCAGCGTATTCGCGTCCACTTTGCCCTGCACCAGTCCCATCACTTCCAAATTACCGCCACGTCTCGCATGCATTACCATTTTCAGCAGGGCCAACGCACAAATTTTGATCTCCTGAAAGCAGTGACGGGGTATACGCGCATCTACTCCCGCTCATTCTCATCTTTGAGCAATAAAAAATGAAAAATTTTCTCTGAGCAAATTTTTTGAGATGAAATTTTCGAAATGAAATTTTCGAGATCCACAAAAGCTACAAGGCTGCAACTTTGTTTTGCCTGAAAATTAGCGTGGACTAAAGTAGCAATTCAACAAGATAGTGCTGAACATACACCGGAAAAATCTCGGAACTGCCAATGCTTTGCCAAGCACCTTTTTTAAATTTAAGAGAATTTAAATTATTGTAAAATGATGTAAATATAGTGGAAATTGTTTAAAATTATTCACTTATATAGAAAAACAATTCGAAAAATTTGAACGAGAATATTTCAGCCCATTAATCCTTATACAATCCTATTCAGTACCACAACTGGACTTCGTCAGTACGGGGCTTGTGGTAATAACAAGCATATTTAACAAAAAAAAAAAACGTATAAGTGAATAAGTCCTTCAAAAAACGAAAGGCATCCGAAAAACGTAAACAGGCTTTCCATCAGTCGATGCAGCATTGCTCAAAGCAACTAAAAAAGTGGAAATGCAAACTATGAACAACTACAACTGATCCAATTGGGAGGGCGTATTATTGAACGATTTCAAACGAATTATGATGGATTCATGAATTACATTCTCGCTGTTTCTGTTCAATCGATTTTATGTTCGAATTTTTCGGTTCAACTTTCCGGTTCAACTTTGCCCCTTTTCGCAAGATTTTATGTCTGCTGTTCAAATTTTCTTAAATTCTGTAGCTCACTCTCGAACAATCCCTCAATTACAGCGTTATTTTTGGTGTACCACAATAATTTTGCCCTCGCTAAATGTCAGCAAACCAACAAAAGTAAACCCAGTCTTTTCTCGATTTTCAACAATTAATCAAATTCCATGGGACAAGTAATAAAAGAATGAAGGATTATGAAATCAAGAAATTTTTTTTTTTTCAAAAACTGGAAAAGAAATTTCGGCCCACAAAGTTGTACAAAATCCAATTTTTTTTTTTGTCGAAAATAAGTGAGAATATACTAAAAGGCTGAAAAATTATGAAATCAAAAAATTTTTTCCCAAAAACTCGTCGAAATGTTTCGGTCCATAAAGTCGTATAAAAGTTAAGTTTTTCATCGACGGCAAGTAGAAAGAGAAGAAAATATGAAGCAGAATCAGGAAAAAATACGATTTTAAGTGCTCGATCAGATTTAATTAAAAAGCAAGAAAGGTAGCTAGATGTTATGAGACCAAAATACCATCAAACCTTGAAATAATGCGGATCTTTTTCCCAGGGTTTAGCCGCCCGAATTGCCTGCTGTTCGGCCGTATCGTAGCGATAAATTTGCTCGGCCGGCTGTACGTTGTTTGCCAGTTCCCAGGTACGCAGGGGCATCGATGAGGCACCGTCGCTGCTTGTCGCCGAATCCATCGGTTCGACGCCGTCCATTGCGCCTTCCGTGCCAGCAGCAGCAGTGCCACCGCTCAACTGACTGCTCATTGCACACAGACCACGGAGATGACCTGAAATGAGAGAAAATAGCAATGCGAACTAGACTAGCCGGTGCAATCATGCGTTCTGCGCAATTCAGCCCATCGAACGATTGCCTATTAATGATTTTCACTGCTGCGTACTTTACTCTATGCAAAAATAGTTCAAGCATTGGAAAACAGTTAAAAATTTCACGCACCAGCGTATGAAAGCT